ATATATATATATATATATATAAAAGAAAAGAAAGGGAGAATTATTTTGTCGATACTGGAATTACCGGAATTCGGGATTTTCGGGAGCGAAAAGAATCATCTTAATTGAAAGCAGGTATATTAGTATTAATTTTAGCTTTGCGCTCGACGGCCTCTTTAGGGGATATGCAATTTTTTTTTTTTCCTCGTCGGCTCGAAACTTTGCTCGTTTTAATTTCTCGCGGATTATTCATTTCGTGCACTTGAGCTTGTCAAAACATAAGCGAGCTTTATTTAACAGGGTTGCGGTTCTCCGGGGTATAATGTCATTGTACATCGACGTAGCTATCCATTCTAGCGGCTAACGAGCTAGCCGTAATATCATTGGGCCGAGTTGGCAAGCACTAAACAATTTTAATGAGATATCCGAAAGAGAACAAAGTTGCCGCTCTAATTTCGTCGGCCTTGCTAATTTTACTTCAACCTTTTTTACAAGTTGCCCAATTAACGTTATTTCATCCGCGTGAAAATAATTCGTTCCGTTGTTGCGAGCGAGGAAATCGGGGAAATTCGAGCGAGTCGCCGATCCCTCGTTTTCTTGTTGTCGGGATCGATCGTCGAAACCGCACGAATCTTCGTTAATCAAAATAAAAAATCTCGATGATAATAATAATAATAATAATTTGATCGAAAGATTTTCGAATAAACGTCTATTTCTATCCTAAAACGCGCCAAATGATGATCGGAGACTCATGGCATTGTAGATAGTTCCCTAGTTCCCTGAAATCATCGAATGATGCATCGTGGGATTAATTGGTAATCAGAATATCGATGCCGCATAATATTGACTACCATATCTAGCTCGGTGATAGATATATCGCCCACGGTAGATATATCTTCCTATTACGTTGCTCATCGAATAATCCGTTTTCCGAAAATTTTCTTCGAAACGTTGCTGCGTGTTATTCCATTCAAATTATCTTCCCGTTGTTCCGTCCGTTTTTTTTTTCTTTCTTTCCAACATTTTATAAAACATCGTAATTGATTAAAATATCATTTGAAAAAAATGAAAATTCGAATTCCAATTACTGTAAACTAATAATTGATGATAAAATTTTTGTTTCAGATATTTTTGCGAAATTAGCCGTTTATACCGGAGAAGGATGGATAAAGAATAAACTCTGTCGACGATCGTTACTTGAACGAGAAAGCTCGTATGCGTGGATTAACTTCAATAAAATCTCAATTTGAACTGTCGTTATGTGTGCGCACAGGTGGTATTTAGACAATTTACCTTTGGCAAACTTCAATTTTGTTGTACGCTGTAATAATCAGAGATAAATAAATTATCGTTGAACAAATAATAAATGATCATAACCATTTGTATGCAGCGGCTAAACGGGAGAAGGGGAGAAGGGTATATGATAATCTGTTATAAATCTCGATATAGTTTAATGCCTCGGATTGTTTACAATCGATAATAATCCGACGTAACCGTACTGAAAATTCAACGTTCGTTACAATCGCATTATCGATTCTATCGTGCTCTAATTGCGGCGATCTTCGTTTCGTCGATTGCTCGAATCGATGCACGCAAGATTAACGTTTAACGTTTAATAAGAATACATCGAGTTTTTAAATATATCTATCTTTAAAAAATTATTTGATTTATCACTCGTAACGATCGAACGAATCTATACTCTATATTCGTTAACCTAACCTAACTCGATAATCTCGTAACATTTTTCGCACTTTGTTCTCGTCTCGTAGTTTCCACACATTTTTCGTTAACCTGTACGACCTAACCAACATCCTCGTTTAATTTCTCTCTCTCTCTAATCTAATCCCTGACGTTTGAAAAATACACTCGTTCCATAGGCATATTACCGACGTTTGTTCCCGTCGTTCCGTTTATAGGCGGAATGTACAAGGCGAGCTTCACCGTGAACGTAGCCGCGTTTGAAATATATTCGTCGATCAATCGAGTCGATTTAATTAAGTCGACCTAATACATTAGCGCCACCTTTGCGGTATCTCTTCGAACAGAAATTTCGCGAGAATATCGATCATTTTGCCGCGTTCGAACGCGGTCGAATATTTTTTTCTTTTTTTTTTTTATAGCATTTTCCTACCCCGCGTATTTTCATCTCGATATTTTAATATCAAGTATATACGTACGTTCGGAGAAATTTGTTTCGCGCCATTTATATTCCATTCGTTGCGAATGTTTCGAGTTAAGTAAAAATCGAAATAGTTTCTCACGTAAATTACGAGCGACATATCAGGTTCTCGAATAAATTCAAGTTTTCCATTATATACAAATTTACAATAGACGCTAGTTACAACGTATCCACGGTTATTTTAATTTCCGGTTGGTCACCGTCTCGGAAAAGCGGAGTCGGCGATAGGGCATTATCGTTGAACCGTGCCTCCAGCTATGCTACGTTACGAAACTTCTCTTCGCAAATGCACAGATTTACAAATGAATCGAACGATTTCCCGATACCAGGCTGAATTCGACGAATAGAAAATTTATAGAATCTTCGACTTTTTGATATATCGTTATCGTTCCTTCTCCTAGAGCTTACTCGTTAGATTCCTTGTTGTAAAAAACATGACACGCTATTTCAAAAATTCGTCTTTATTTATTCGATTCGAATAGAGAATGAGAATTAAAAGTTTTAATTATTTCATAACCTAAATCTAGAAATTGGCGCGGAGATCCTTATTCCCGTAAAGTTAAAAAATCCTCGACGTCGAAAACAACTTACTCTCGAATATATGGTTGTTTTCCCTTTCGTTTCTCCTCGCTACGGATATATATATACAAGAATATATAATAAATTACTCTCTCCCCGGTCGACTCTAAATATATTTACTCGATTCGATGGGAGGGAAAAATTGCAAACAACCGGCGTAGACAAGGTAAGAAGTGGTGTAAAAGAGGCGAAGAAGAAGAGGAGGAGGAGGAAGGTCGGTAGGGAGGTCAGCGCGTGACAAATGAGGCTGTTTGTCTGAGCCTCGTACACACGGATAACGAGCCCCCTCAGAGGTCTTCGCTAGCTCCTCTTTGCCCCGTCGACTCTCGAGAGCGGCATCTCTCGGTATTTCATCGCGCCATTTCTCCCCCCTCCTCGTCTCGCCGCGCCTCGGCTACCCGACAAAATTGCGTACTTTAAACACACCTGGCTGCCATCCTCGAGGATGTCGTTCCGTCTAATTGACGCGGTAATTAGCGACGAAACGGACGGTCTAACGGATTCGCGAAAACTAGGAACAGGAAGGAGAGGAGGGAGGGGAGAGGCGGCGAAAGGCCGAAGAAGAACCGAATTCGCGATTTGGCGACGGCAAAGGGAGATGGTAAGAAGAAATTTCGCTGATTTTGCAGGGTTTAGAGGAGGACGTGGTGGAACGCTATATTTCCGGAATTCGTGAAATGTACGTGGAAGGGTACGAACGTGTCCGGCATCGAAGAAGCCTCGTTAATTAGCCACTGTTTCGGATCCATCCGTAATTACCTATTGCGCCTGCCCGTCTGGCCTGGGAACAAAAACTCGGCGGCTGCTCGAGCATCGTATTCGCGATCTTTAATTAGCCTGTTCGATAAATCGAAGGTCGAATCGCAGCTTCTCCCTTTCTTCGTGGATGTAAATTGAAAACGAAACGTTTCCTCGTTTAATCTCCTTTTTCTTCCGACTCATATTTACTCATTCTATCGAAATATTCGAAAATATTTTGTATCTGTCGTTCTGAAACTAAAATCCGCAACGTAAGGAAAGAGGCTTAACGAATCGAATGCGAATTATTACCTTTTTAGTTTGGTTTGTTGATCGACTTCGAGAGGATGCTCACGTGGGAGATATAATTCAGCAAATGGAGATTGGTGAATTATCTCATTACATGTAATATACATTTTAGGTGTACGAATAAATTCTTTCTCCTTTTTTTCCAAATTTTGCCACGATTTTTCGTATATTCCGTACAGATACAGCGTTCTCTGCCAGTGGCGCGCAAACCGTTTCGATAGACAATTTCCTAACCTTCTCGTGCGCCGTATCGTTCGAAATCGTGCACTGGAAACTGGTCATCGCGACTTTTCTTAACGCGTTGACTGTCACGCGTGTTTCCAACGAAATCTCCTTCAGGATATGCACGTCACTGTACCAAGCGTACTTCACTAGATTCTTCCACCGATATTCTACTAATGCAAGTCTCTGGTGTTCGCAAGAATAATCTTCTACATTATTTGTTTTCATCGTTACATTCCAGAGGTCCTCACTTGTCAGTTTGCCACTGTATACGAACACGCCACTCTTCGAATCTTTGCCGAGTTAAAATTTCTGTCTTAATTCGTTCCAATGTCGAAAAGAAAAATAGAAAAGTTACGTCTTAGTGAATCATATAGCAGACATATATGACATATAGCGGACAACTTTTTGTTCTAACCAACTTCAGCTTTGTATAGAATGCTTTAAAGTTTTACGTTCTTTTAATAAATCATTTTTGTATTATTTTCATAATAATTCGATAGTTTTATTACACCTGTGGAATATCTTTCCAAATACTTACGAAGATTCTTCGTAATAGTTAAATAAGCGTCACGAATGCGCGATAGTTAACGTATTAAAAGCGAAAGAACACTGTTTCAGATGGCGCCACGAACTAATTCAGTCGCAAGTTACGATCATGGAAAAAAAGGGAAGGGAAGGAACTTGTTTACGCGCATCTAATGGAACATAGTGGACGCAATTATCTTTTCGACTTCACTGATCGCACGATCGATATCGATCGCGTTATAAATTATCATTGCGCGATATAAAATAGATTATGCGCATATTGTCGTCATAACGAGGAGAGTCGGTGGTCTGTTTGAATTGCAAATAGAAACGACGCCCGTAACGCGAATGAAATTAGCGTTAAATCCATTGACACTGATAAAGCGCGAATGGACTCGGTCCGGAGGAGTTGGGTCAACGGTGACCTAACCGCGTTTTCTCCCTCCTTCCACCTCGAGCGCATCGATTTTAATTAATCCTAGCTGTAATAGTCGTCGTTGGACCGTCGTCCGGGAAATCGTAGAAGGAAAAAAAAAAGAACAAGGATTCTATTTCCACTCGACTCGATAATATCGCGGCAATCGCTTCCAACCTGTGCTCGTTTCCGTCCGTGAAATATATATAAACGAAAGGGAGGAGAAGGGAAATCGATGGGAAAGAGAGAGAGAGGGGAAAAAAAGCAAAAAAAAAAAGAACGAGAGAAAGATGATCAAGCGATGATCGATATCAGCCAAGGATAAAAATGGCTCGGCTCGTAACATATGGCGCGATATCATAAGGGAAAAAAAGGTGGAAAGAAAATTTCAGATTCTATCGCGTTCTTTTTCTTTCTTTCTTTTTTTCTTTCCTTTTTTTTTTTTTTAACCTTCCCCTAGCTTAGAAAGATAAGGAGACGAACCGTGATAACGATATCCGGGACTTACGCTACTCTCGAAAATAACTGTGTATCACCGTTGCTTGCTCGACCTCGTAAACCTAGAATTTCCCGTATCTTCTTCCGTTCAATTTTTCCCTTCTCTTCGTTTAATTTCCACCAACATCCGAGCGATCGTGATTTAGTTAAAAAAGCGAAAAAAGAAAAAAGAAAAAGAAAAAGTATATATATATATGTAGTTTCTCTGTCTGACGAAGAATATTTTTTACTCGTGGGATTTTGATTAGATTCTTGATTGCACGTTTCGCGCGAGCGTAGGTAACCGGGATATGCAAATTGGATCGTAATAATATTTCAACTATGGAGGCGCGCATACAGATGGATATCGGTACGAAGAAAAGTTATTGTTACACAGAAAATGGAGAAACGCGTAAATGCCGATTTTCAGCGGTTGCAGTTTAAACAGCAACGAAACGACGACTCGGCGATGATCAGCTCCCCATCTTTTCCAATTTCTCTCTCGACTTCTCTCCAGAATTTTCTCCTGGAAGAGAATTTGCATGGCCGATCAAAGCACGTTTCTCATCGTAATTCAAAAACGCCGAGTGTTGCGAAAAAGTGAGGAGGTGGGCAAAAGACGGAATTCGTAAATATACAGAATGTTTATAAAAATGTGGGACACCTTTGGATTCTACACATCAAAAGAATAAAAAAAGTTCATGTACACGTACAGCCGATAAGGCTTTATTTAACCAGTTATATATTTTAAGTTTGCATTAAATATAACGAGAACGCTACGATCGGCGCAAACTTCGTTTCACTCATCGCTGCGTCAGCCGTTCCCACGTACAGATTCCAAATTTATTCCACGTTTTTCCCGATTTTATTCCCTCGCCTGTTCTCCACGTATTAATTTGCTGAGATTAATACCGTCCAACGAATCTCGATAATGATAAAAGAAACGCTAGATATACAATATTAGGTGGTTCGGGAAGTAATTTCGTCTTTTCACACGAGCGTCGCTACGTGTCGAACGTTTATCCACAGCCAACTTCGTTCTAAACTGTGTTGTTATCGTGCGTTTCGAGAGTTGGCATTTCGCAATTTATTTATAAGAAAAATTCATTTGATTGTGCGGTTGTGCGGTTGTGTTTCTCGTGCGCGATAACGAAGATGCGAAATCAAAAGGAATATTTTTGATGTGTTTTATTTTTTTATTATCAAGAGGTTAGAAATGCCGTTCAAGCAAGAAAAAAGTTACGCGAAGTGTATTAATGATACGCCAGTGTCAAAACGCCAGTGGTTTTCGAAATTTCGTTTCAACATAAGTTTCAACATTCAAGATAAAATAAAGGCACCGATCGAAGCAAACCGACAAACAATGATTCGAGAAATATTCGTGATCGCATGAAACGACTTAGTGTTTCATTGTCGTGAAGAAAACGAAATTTACTTTTCGTATAGTAAATCCAAAATCCAATCGATCCTAACGTCATATATAGGATGTTTATAAAAATATAGGCGAGATTCTAGACATTAAAAGGATAAAAGAAGCTTATGTACGCTTATGTTCGATAAAGCTTTATTAACGAGTTATATATTTTAAGTTTATATTAGGTAGATTCCATTTGGGCGCGCGTACTGTATCGCAATATCGGAACTTCTCGATGAAAATAAATATACCGATATTTTTTTATATACAATTGATTATTTCAAATGAATTTCAATATAAGGTATAAAATATATTTCATATAAAATGTCTATAAATATCGTGTAATGTAACTGTGCAATATTTTTATATCATTTAAAAAAAATTTTAATTACATTACCCATTAATTAAATTTTATCGAACATACGCGTATATGAACTTTTTTAATCCTTTTGATGTTTGGGATCCATCCTCCAAAGGTGTGCCACATTTTCATAAACACCCTGTATAAGAGCCGCGCGAGAGAAATGGATGAAGCCGAAGACAGTGCGCTCGGTGGAAGGACGACAACGTATTACGGGCGCCGATCGAAACCGATAAATCACCGGATGGTGGTCGGTCCCCGATGACGTTCACCATCGATCATTCGCGATTCGCGAGAAGGGATCGTTGACCCATCACAGGCAAGGGGCGTAGCTAAACCGATCGATATTCGACCATTAAGTATAGAGACCACTTAATTAAGATCAATAAGGCTTTTGATATGACGTTAACGCTCCACACGACGTTTCGCTTTGACACAGTATCCCGCGGACACGAGCCACATCCGTCGCGCCTCCTATCGATCGCCATTTCCTCCGATCTCTCCTTTTCTCTCGATTATCTCCCCCCAATTATCACGAATCGTCGCTTCGTCGAAAATAATAAAGTTCGAAATTCACTCACGTCCCGAATTCGTAAAGCTTTTAACGTTACACACGCAACTTACTTTTATACGACTCTCGTCTGCCTTGAAACACGCTTCACACGCGGTTTACGTAGTTACGTGTGCAACTTATGGGGACGAGAGAGAGAGAGAAAGAGAGAAAGAAAGAAGCCGTTATTTTTCGAGATAAAACGCGCGCGCTAGGGGGAGCTAGTTTATCTTGATATTCGTGGCATTTCCTCGATACGTGAAATAATAACGTCTATTCTTGTGGCGATGGAAAACGGGGGGGATTCGTTCGTTTCGCACGATAAATTTCAAGCAAACAAAGTTATGCTCGCGCCATAAGTATTTCGACAAATGTGACGGAAGGGCTGTTTAAATTTTCACACAAGGGTGATTCAACCGTTTCGAGGGAGACTTCTCGAGGTTTGCCAAGATACTTTCACGGGGAGGAGAAGGGTTATTCGTCGCGATTTAACCCGCCTATGTCTCTCTGATTCGAGTTCAAGTTTATTCGAGATAATTGGGACGAGAGATAGAGATCGTTCCTTCCACGAGGGAGATTAAATTCGTACATTTTCGCGTACATATCGATTCTCTCAATTCTCGCGGATTCGACGAAGTGAACGACGAGTGAATTCGAAGCCGGATCCTTTGGAATGCCTTTTGTTCAGCCAACGAGATCCCTCGTACTTGTGTACGAAAATGGTGATATTCGAAATTTTCACATCGTTGCAAGTCTACTCGCTTATCGGTAAGTGATATTATTTCCAAAGTGTAAATTCGAAGAGAATTGCGATTTTATCGATCGATCGAGAGTGGTGGGGAAAGAAGAGGTTACCGGCAACTTTGATCTTTATTTATTGGCGGTGGGATCGAGGTTAGCCGCAAGCTCGTTACAACGGCGCATTACCCGAATTGCGGGCATCTCATAGGGCCATTCATTGGCAACCCTTTTCGCCACCCCTTTCCTTGCCCTCGTCGACACAATAATATCCGTTTCAACACTTATATTTCCACCCGGTTTCGATCCTCGTTTCGAATATTTCCCGATCCGATTTTTTATCTTCCGTTCGCAAATCGTTCATGGATCGATCGTTGCTCGATCGTTTCGATTCGAGGTCTCCAAGCTTCGCCGGCCAACAACCTTCTTCGACATCTCTTCGAGAAACAAAAGAAGGAAAAGTTTTATTTGCGACGTTGGGGAACTCGCGCTTTTCGCCGATTTAAACGTCCAAACTATGCAAACTTACGGCCGTGACCTGTATGAATCCATCGGTGAAACTAAAGTCGCGGGAATAAATCACCGGTTTAGTCCCACGGGGACTACGAGAGGAGACAGATTTATCTTGGTCGAGGAACATTGGAAGTATTCGCGGTTATTTCTTTCGCTTCTGAAAAAAAAAAAAAGAATTTTCATCGACGATGAACGAACAGACGCAACGGTATTCTCCTCGCGATTCTTCGATAAAGGGAAGGCACGAGGATAACAATATTATGTACACGTAAAGAAATTTTATAATTGTTAAAAATATTACGTAATAACGTTATTTAAAATACGTTATTTAAAATATTACGTACGCGTAATGTAAAGAAATTTTATAATTATTAAAAATATTACGTAATATTATTTAAAATATTACATACGCGTAATGTAAAGAGAGATTTCAACGATTATCGAAGCAATTGCATTTTCCATCCACGTGGCCAACGAAAGTATTCGAACGTTTATATTTGCAATTTTTGATGAACGAGATACATGTCAAAAAAATTTAAGACAACGAGAGATGTATAAAGGGAAATGTCAAGATTATATAGGCAAAATTTGAAAATGATTCACCAATTTATGCAATAGTTATAATAAATTGTATATACGTACTATTAATAGGTTAGAAAGGCTTCATATATTATTTAATATTAATATTAAACCACTTTCAATGGTAATAATTTGTCTCGTCGTTATAGAGTGGGTAACGAAAGTATTCGAACGCTTGTATTTGCAATTTTTCATAAATGAGATATACATGTTAAAAAAATTTTTGTGTAAGACAATGAGGAGTGTATAGGAGGAAAATCTAAAAATTACGTCGGAAAAATTTGAAAATGATTCATCAATTTATGCAATAGTTATAATAAATTATATACACGTGTTATTAATAGGTTAGAAAAGTATTCGAACGTTTCATATATGCAATATTATTTAACATTAATATTTGGTAATAATTTGTTTCGATCGACTGGTTTCACTACTGCGAACCAGTGTAAAATTA